TCTCTTTAATACACTAAAATTCTTGCAAAGATTCGGTACTGTTGCAGACCACTATAGGAACATTCTCCCACTAGAAGAGCCCAATCGCATCTTCATTTCTGTGTTGAAATTCAATGTAATATCTATGTAGAGTGCTGGGAGGCTTTATGAAGGAGTTAAGTATGGATGTTTACGATTTTGCCGTAGCTTTTAATTATATTATAAAAATAAATAAATATTCCATTATTGTTCACAAGGTCATTATGAGAGCATGGCCAAGAGTAACCACGGCTAATGAGGATAGATTTGAGTTGTTGTCTTTCTCTTTCAAGCATTACGCAGTTGAAGATATAATGAGTGCTCCCATCTTCAATTTTACAAGTTGGACATTCTTTATTGATGTATTCAGTAAATCTGTGTAGGTACTTGGCAAATTTACCATGATCGGTGAAAAATTGAGTGGACCAAAAACATGGTTTCATCCATGTGTATTTAAAGATATCTTTAATGGTTGGAAAAAATTTGTAAGTAATTTTACCCTCATTGCTGTTCCATTTTTGCTGCCAGTTGTTGAGCATATTGCTCCAAAGAAGGCCCTTGATAGTATTCAAGCTGACCTTGTTATAAGAAATTATAAGCTGATCATTATTAGCAGCATGTTTAGCCAAGTGATCTGCTCTTTCATTGCCACTAGTCCCCCTATGTGCCATTACCCACTTGAATTTATAGACATTATTTGAACTTAGAACAGACTTTTTAATAGCTGTAGACAATGGGTGAGCTTTAGTGCTTTTAATTGTGGCCAGTGAAGAAGCGCTGTCACTACATATTGTAATTCTTGTACAGCTACAATTCAAACAGCTACAATTGAAACAGCTACAATTGAAACAGCTACAATTCAAAATAGATATTATCAACAAATAACAGTACTATTACCATTAAACTTAGAGCTGTAACTAGGGTATGGCCAATGTGGCCCTCGCCACAGGCACTGATTTAATAAAGGTGCCAACAAAAAGGTTTTGAAATAATATGTATTTGAAATTAATAACACAAAAAAAAATTTTTATATTTATATTTACAGTTGACCCCCCTATAATGCAGTAGATATGTTCCACTTTATAAGAATTTCACGTTGTAGGAATCCTTAAATACATGAGAGCCAATCACAGCCTAGCATGCGTACAGTTTGCGGACTACGGCTGTTTGAAAGGTTTCCATCCACAACATTAATCAATTCTAGACTAATTTGACTCAACATTTCCAAAACACATATAATTTTTTGGGAATAATCCATATAAATTATGCTATAAACAAAAAATTGTAGGATTACTTACCAAGTGTGCACCGTTCGACGATGCCATTGCTTAAGCTTGTTTTTGTTGCGGAGCAGTGCACCAAATAACGGGCACGTTTTCTGATAAGTTATTTTGCTGTGAAAAATTTGTTGAACTTTGGAGACATCATTAATAGAAATAACTTTTATGGCTGTTGAATAAGAAATGTTTTTTCACAAGAAATGTATAAAATTACAGTACTTTATTAGACTTACAGTACCTAATTTAGGCCTATATACTGCACAGATAATAGTAAACTCAACTTACTCGCCTAAACTCTCCATAGCGTGTAAGTAGTTCAGCTGCTCGTCCACTATTGGTCCAGATTCGACCAATCCTGTTGCGACACGAGTCGACGATGACGTTTTACCTCATTTTACGAGTCTCTTTTAGTGTCTTTATACGAATACGGTCGCAATTTTTTTGCCGCGATATACGAATCCACATTACATAAACCCGTGTTATAGGGGAGTCTACTGTATATAGTATTTAAATGTCATTAGATAATTTTTTTATAATAGCATTTTTTTAAAATAAATTTTTTTTCAATAATAAAAATTAAAAAGGCACCATTTTCATTCTTGGCCATAGGCATCCAAAATCCTTGTTACAGCTCTGGTTAAACTGATGGTGATATGCTTATCTGGAAATTTATAATTAATTAATTGTAATCTGAAAATTTTTGATGTAATGTTTGATCAATAAAATTTATTAGATTTTATCTTTTAAAATCTTCTTTTTGTATGCTTTAATTAATTCACTGAATGTGAAATCATGTTTGTCATTATTTTCTTTAGCATTTCTTCTCTTTTAAAATTTTAAACTAAAAATAATTTTAATAAATATAATAAAATTAATAAAATTTTTAAAAAAGTAAGAATAAATAAATTTTTTTTTGTTATAAGTGTTGTTTAAATGTGTGAATTGCCTCTAAAGTCTGAACATGTGGAGGGTTTTTCTTTGTATGTTTTATAAATTTTAAATTATTTTAGATTCAATTTTATTAGAGTTTATTTTTCATATTTCTGAATATTTTTGTCATGTTGGGATTAAGTTTGTATCTATTATTTTCATTATTAAATGTATATATTAATATAATATAATCATTATTAATTTGTTAATTAAGTATACTTACACGATCAGGCTTCACAAGATTATTTATACCAACTATATCCCTTTGTAGTTCCATTAGATTTGCATAATTTTCCTGTAAAAGTAAAAAATTTTTTATCAGTAACAAAATATAATAAATTAAAATATTTGAAAAACAATTACATTCAATTAGATAGTATTTATTTGTTTAATGGTAATTATTATATAGTTTTGATCATCGTATTATTATTTTAATTTTAATACATTTAATTAAAAACATCATCTTTTCTGGGTCATTATGTAAAATGTTTAGCAAAAAATATATAACATGAATTATAAAGGTAAAAGGGAAACTATCATCAGTAAACTAAGACTATAATTTGTAAGATGATTTGATATAAATCGCAGCCTGTTATCAAAGCAAAAGACAATTTTGCAAAAATTTTGATACTTTAATCAGAAAAAGCAATGACTAGATGGCACAAGTAAAAAAACGTATGGGTGAGTGAGTTCTGAATGAAAAAAGGAAATGTTTTTACATTGTGTTTTTATGCAGTGTTTTTACAATGTGATTTTTATGCAGTTTTTACATGGTTGTCCTTCTGACACCAGTACTTATCTTTCAATTGTTCACATCTAAAGATTCAACTTGTGTCAAAGTCCTGACTTAATCCATTGCGTTGTAAAGCTTTTGATGATACTACTACAGAAGTCTGAATTCTTTGTTGCCAAAAGTCCTTGGATCTTTGTAGTAACTTTTATCAAGAAAAGAATCCCCTCTCTTTCGAATTCCAGATTAGTTGTGTTCTTGCATATTACCTTATATTAAACATTATACTATAGTGAAATTACTTTGGCCAATTGTGTTGTGTTGTGATTGTTAAACAACAATCTACACATTTAATTTTTAAGATTTCACAATATATAAAATGAAATTTAATAGATAAAAGTATATCTATTTTTCTAAAAAGATTTATTTATTTAAAATGTCCATAGTAAGACAAAAAAAATAATTTAAAAAAATTTTTGTTTCAAAAAACAATAGCCAATAAATAAATTAATAAATTATTTATGAATACAGTAGAACCTCGATTATCCGGACTAATTGGGGATAAAGGTAGTCCGGATAAGGAAAAATCCGGATAATGGAAACAAATACTTTAATTTGTCTTTTAATGATAATACAACACGTTTCCTTTTCGATGAAATATCGGTAATATTAAAAGTAAATACTGTATTTAAATCGTGATCAAATTTTCAAAAAACAAATGTTTGTATTAAATTTGGACTACTACTGACCAACGCTAATAGACTATCTATTGTTTAAAAGGCCCTCTGATGGCGCAAGAAGACGGATTTTATAAAATAAAAAGCAGTTGAAACTGCATTTTTATGAATAAAAATTTGACAAACTATTTATCGTTTTATGACGAGTAAAATTTTTTCGTCGC